GTTCTCACCACAAATTAGTAAGAACATGAGATAACATCTCAATGAGCTTGATTTAGCCACTCTACAATGTACACATACTGAAACATAATGTGGTACATCATAAATGCAGACAATATTTTTTGAGAGGTTTTTACTATAGGGCATGTGCACTTGCCAGAAAGACACAGAGATGCAGAGAGCGAGAAATCACCCCCCAGGGGAGATGGCCACGCTGCAATCCCTTCTCCTCCACTCTCCTCTTAGGATCTTGGGCACACATGCACACGCACCTTGTATGAGTTTAAGCCACCAGGTCTGGGACTCAAACCGCAGTCAACTATATGGGAGTCCAGTGACATAGCCATTACATCAACTGCTGGTCCCAATGCATACAATTTTCATTTGTCAATTAAAAAAGAAGACCAGGGGAACAACTGAATTTCTACATTACCAAAATTCAAATTTTAGAAAAGATCTAGAAATTAAATTAGACTGCCAAATGAGAAGCAACAATTGATTCTAATTCTAAAATGGAATAAAGGTCTCAACTCAAATATAATGTTTGAGATTAACTGACACCCTACAACTATCCTCAAACAATGACAAAATTAAAAACCATAATAGTGTCAGTTGTGTTTACTGATTATTTCCCACCAGGATGTAATCTAAGCACATTTTCAAATAAATTCAAGAATCCTAAAAAAGGCCTTTAAAAACAAACAAAATTAAAATTACTTTTCGATAAAAGAAAAACTGGAGGCACAACAAATTTAACAAACTTATAAAATCATAGGGCTTGGAATGTAGCAGAGGGCCAGCCTGTGGCATGGTGGTTACTTATGGCAGTTGGATTCTCACATGGCTGACTATGTGGTTCAAATCCTAGACCCAGAGGCTTGAAAAACCACACTTGGGTGCATGAGTGTTCCCAAAATCCCAAAAGGAGAGAGAAATGGAGGTGAAGGAACTGCAGTGTGAACACACAGACCTTCTGGCCAAATTACAAGAAGAAAGAAAGGGGGAGAGAGAGAGAGAGAGAGAGGGAGGGAGGGAGGGAGGGAGAGGGAGGAAGGAAGAAAAAGAGAGGAAGAGAGGAAAAAAGAAAACTAAAATGTAAGATCTAAGGTATGAAGTTTTAAGGCAGTGTTCCTATTAAAGTGACCATAGTGGTGAAATTCTCCTCTAACTCCCAAAAGGTGCCTATTACAAAGCTATTATAAAATGGATTTCTTTGAGGGGCCAGCAGGTGGTGTAGTTATGCTGGACTCCCACATGACTGACCATGGTTCAAGCCCTAGACCTGATGGCTTGCTTTTGCTCTCTCTTGGGTTTACGCTCTCTCACTGATGAGCACATGTGCCCTATAGCAAACTTAAAAAACAATAAAAATAAAATTATTCTTTTAAAATAATAAAATAAAATGGATTTTTTTTAAGGCCAGTTCAGGGTTATTTTCGGTTTGAAAGAGAGGTTCCATCTCCACTTTTTTTTTCCTGGCTCAATTACCTACATCCTCAGCCCCTCTTCCATTTGACTCTTTGGAGATAATGAACACGTAACATAGTGTCGAGACCAAGTTCTGACTAATTGTTGACAGTCAATAAACACAATAGATATTCAATAGTTGCTCACAGAATTACATCCAACTAAACAAAAATTCAGACCTGTCATCTGCATAAGAGTGTGAGGCTTGACCGTGGCATAGTGGTAAAATGCAATGCTCTGATCCACATGAGAAGGTTCTGGGTTTGCATTTGAATACACCAGGCATAAGTGTGCCCATGATCCAGGGCTGGCTGAAGCTGGGGATGGACAGTGTGATCGACAAGTTGTTAGGAGTGCAGGGCTCTCTGCCTCTACCTTTCTCACTCATAGTAGAAATATATAAATGAATTTAAGGGGAAAAAAATGCTGGAATAGGCTAAGGAAGCACCTGAGGAAGAGAAAAAATAGTCATGGGTCATGAAATAGTCCCAGGTAATAAGCATATGTAATCTATCAGGTCTGCCCCACATGCCTCTCAATTTCCTTCTCAGAATCTCACTTCTATCTCATCTTAGCTATATCCTTCCTTCCTTGGGAGTGAGAAGTAGGTTGGAGGTTTCAATGGAAAGGTTCCCTAGCATGAATAACTGTAGGCCCTCTGTCTGGACCACTCTCATACACCTTCCCAGCTCTGGTCTGGAAGACAGTGAAGCAGACTGAGTGGGAATATAAATCCTCCACATCACACCTGCAGTCTACCTGAATATGCAAACTCTTAGGAAGGCGTGAAATTAGCCCAGCTTGTCAATCATGGAGCACAGCTGGACTCCAGTTAAATTCTATCAAATGGAAAGGGGAAGAAAACTTTTGAAAATTAAACTGAATAAAGAACCTTTACCTCAAGGCAGAAAAGGCACTTCTAATTGACTTCTCAACTGCAGTGAAGGTTCACCCATGGCCCCAAGCCTTACTCCTCTGGAGAAGGAAATGAGAAGGCAGGCCACAAGCCACCTGAACCAGAACCCAGAAACATACTCAAATAAATGCTACAAAATCAACTTGCCAGCAGCCTGCTAATGAGGAGCAGCACTCATCCATCTCTTAGTGCTCTGAATTTCCAAGAGGCATTTTACCCATCATTCATTAGCTCTGCAGTTCTTACCATGGCCAAGGGACAACCCGGTCTGAAAAAAGTCTGACTTGACTATAGAGGAAAGAGAGGGAATGGTCTAGGAAAGGGAAAAATCCACAGAATAGAGGGCTGAGTACCCGATAGCAATAATGGTTTGGACTGTCACAAGAAGTGGTCCCTGTTAAGTCACAAAAAAAGAGGCACCTGAATCCCCAAAAGAAAACTATAGCAAAAGCATTTAATTTACTGCAAAAATGGAGACATTGTCCTTTCTGGATAGCATTTCCAGGGAGCTGTTACTATGGGTCAAACGGCAACATCAATAGCAGACAAAAACAGGGCAGGGGCAGAATAAAAAAGAAATGGTAGCAGAGTGCCAGCTAAGGCGCATTCTCTGAAACAAGCCAGTACCTGTTTCACAAGGGTCTCCTGATCCATGAAGGAGAGAAGGGGAGGCCAATAAGATTGGATTCCCTGCTACTGTCTTTCCCTGTAGCCTGCCCTGAATAGTCTTAACTCTTCCCCACTCCATGGATGTTCCTAAAAGTGAAACAGATCACTGAAGTCTTTAACAAACTCCACATGGTCTATAAAATTCTCTGCTGCTATTAAGTTCAAGAGTACATGAGCTGGCCTGGCAGAGCTGCAGTTAAGGGAGCCAGATCTTGAACACTGTCTGCAGTTCAAGCCCTGGTGGCTTGAAAAACACACTGGATTACTTTTATGTACATGCCCTAAAATCCAATGGGAAATAGGAAAAATGATTTCATCATGGGGATCAGCAGGTAGCATAATGGTTACATCACTGGACTCCCATGTAGTTGACCATGGTTCGAGACCCGAACCCAGCAGCTTGGAATGCACACCAGGCATGTATGGGTGCTTGCCCAAAATCCCGAGAGGAGATTGGCCATCCCCCTGTGGGGTGATTTTTTGCTTTCTGACTGTCTCTCTGGCGAGTGTACATGCCCTACAGCAAAAATCTCTTAAAAAATAAAAAAAGATTCAGCATGATCATACCCCACTGGGAAGCTCTTTCTCTGTCTCTTTCTGGCAACACACGTACCCTCCGGCAATTAAAAAAAAAAAGTCAAGGATGAAATTAAAATAAGCTCAGATAAAAAAAGCAAAACTCAACCTAGAAGTCAATAACTAACTCGTCCAACAAGCACACGAAAAGATATTCAACATCACTAATCATTGAAGAAATGCAAACCAAAGCCATAGTGAGATAGCACCTCATGCCCTTTAGGATGGCTACTGTCCAAAAACAAGAGAGAGACACGGGAAATAAAAGAGTTGATGAAACTGCAGAGAAATTAGAACCCATGTGCACTATTGGTGGGTATGTCTGATGAAAAAGCAAAACGGCAGTTCCTCAAAAAAATTAAAAATGAAATTACCACATGATCCAGCCATTCCACTTCAGGGTATCAACTGAGAGAACTGAGAGCAGAGTCGTGAGGAGGTATGTGTATTCCCGTGTTCGCAGCAGCACTCACAACAGCCAAAGGATAGAAGCGACCCAAGTGTGCACTGACTAATGGATGGACTAACGAAATGTGGTGTATATTTACAATGGAAGATTATCAGCCTTAAAAGAAAGGAAATTCCGGGCCAGCTGGGGATGTGGTGGTTGGGATGGCTGGATCCCACACAGCAGACGGTGTGATTTAGGTCTCAAACACCATGACTAAAGAAACTTGCCACGTGTGTGTGCATGTGCACATGCATGCCCAAAATCCTGAGAGGAGAACAGACTGTAGCATGGCCATCTCCCCTGAGAAGTGACTGCTCTTTCACACGCTCTCTCTCTGTCTCCCTCCCTCTCCTGGTAGGGCATGTTCCCTGTAGCAAATGAAAAAACAAAGCAAACAAAAACAGAGGAGGAGGAGGAGGACATGGAATAACCTTGAGCACGTTGTACTAAGTGACATAAGCCCGTTACAAATGGACACATACTGCACGATTCCACTTACAGGCAGTGCGGAGGACAGGCAGATTAGAGACAGAAAGTGGAATGGCGGTGGTTAGGGGCTGAGAGGAGGGAGAACAGAGAGTCAACATTTAATGGGTACAGAGTCTCGGGTTTGTGACATGAAGAGAGTTCTGGAGATGAATGGTGATGACGGCCACACAAGAATGTGAATGCACTTAGCGGCACTGATTTGCACTCTGGAAAATGGTGACGGTGGCCAATCTTATATATCTTTTATTACAATAAAAAAATAAATTGGGGGGGAAGCAGTTAGCTAACAGTCTATTTTTTTTCCAAGGGAACAGAAAGTCATCTTTCTTCCACATGAAAACAACACGTGTTTTCAGGCTTTTCAAATTCCAGGCTCAGCTACAACACAATCTAACCACACACATCTACCCCCAAGAGTTAAAAAAGACTACTCACCTCACTGAGGTAAATAAAAAAAGAGCAGGTGGACCCATCCACTCCATAGTCTGCGTAGCAGGGATCCGAGCGCCACATGTCTTTCATCCACTGAAACAACAGGAAGCAGGTAAGAATGTGTCTGAGCAGCCGCAGTCCACTCTCGGTGCCCCTGAACATGTGCTCACAGAGGAGGTGACAATACAAGGCAGGACGGTGGACGGAATGGTTCAAGCTGGCAAAGAACTGAGCAAATGGGTCACTGAGCAAGGTCAAGACGTGCAGAGGCTCAGCTCTTGAGTGATTGATAACACACTGGCTTGTGCTGGGTCTTAACTGAGTACCTGGAGCAAAAGGTCCTCTTGGGACACACCAGGTCTCAGAGCTCAGGATAGGCGTGGCTGGAAAGGTGTATCATGGGTAATTAAATGGGACCCTTGCAATGAAATCCCCTCTGGCCACTCTATTTCCAAGGGCTGTAGGACAGTGCCTAGGGTAGAGAGTGTTCTAACCAGAGCCCCAAGAAAGCACTTATAGATGCCCCAAAGGGAGACTGTGAAAATGCTTCTTGGGTGGCCCTCACCACACTAACTGCATACCTGAACCAAAACTTATCTCTGAAAACTGCTAAGCAGGGAGTAGTCTTCCCAAGGGCAAGCCGCACAAATAGGATCTTTAAAAAAATACTAAGAGTGAAAGAGTAGCCAAATGTCTCAGGGTACTCAACTGCAAATGCAAATGTGACATTTAAACCACAATCTGGAGACCTCAGAGCAGGGGCCTGGCACTGGGCGAGAGGGATCTGGACTCTCAATAATGGCAGCCCCTGTCACTGGTCCTTGAAGGATCACCCGCTGGAGGCTGGGAACGAGGGAGGGGAAAGCTGCTTCAAAGACACAGCAGGCGCCTGAAATGGCTCAGGCTCTTTCAGTCTGACCAGCGGGAGCCATTGTTGACCAGCCCCATGGAGCTGGCATAAGCAGAGAAGGGCTGTGTGGCACAGCCCAGAACTGGCTGACTCCAGGCATCCTATAAACAACTCCCTTCAAGGGCTCAATCACCCATTAGTATCACCAGGGAGGGATAAAGAGTGGGGGTGTGAGTGCAGCTGGAGGATGATGGAAAGGAATACACTTCCTCCTTACCTTGATTTTCCCCTCGCAGTGGGGGTAGCCATCCATAGGAGGCAATACACATTTTTCTTGAGCTCCATTAATGATATCTATAAGGACAGAAAACAACAAAGGGTACCATGAAGTCTAAATAACAGAAATCTAAAGTCTCCTAAGCAGAGAAGCAAAGAGAGAAACCAAACAAAGTCCATCTTGGCAGCCAAGTTGTAACCCATGGGACCCCTCTGCCGCAAACCGGTTGCTTGGTCTGCAGTGTGGACCTGATCTGAGGATAGCCCACTGACAGGAGGGCCAGACACCTACAGCGCATGTCGTTGGCTTGAAGAGTAAGCTAGGCCAAGCAGAGTGCTTGCTTAGAAACCTGCAACTGGGAAACAGAAACCAAACAAGCAGGATATGAATCCATGAGATTAGGAGAATTTGCTGGGGCTGGTGGGGTCACTTTGGGCTATAGGCAAAGTGAGGTCATAAGCAGACTTGGTGAAGATACACACGAGCTCAGGAAGCCAGGAGAGGAGAGAGGGGAACAGAGCTGGTGTGCGGAGGAGCAGAGAGCCACTAGTCTGTGCCATCCTGAGGCACTTGTTCTGGTTCCAGGAGGTCTTCTTACAGACCCGTCCTTAGGGTTCCATGGAGGGCTCTTTATTGCTTTAAATATTTTCCCACAATAAACTCTCTTTATATCTGCAATCTCTAGTGGGTTCCCATCATTGTAACAATTCAAATCCAAAATGAATGCCTTCAAGAAATTTATGACCTAATGGACAACAGACGCATGAACCATGGAACACAGTGTAACCGACATTATGTCAGGGCTGGAAAAGAAGGATTCCCAGCCCACTCTCTAAGGGTCAAAGAAGGCCTCCTGACCCATTGATGTAAGTCAATGAGATGTGAAGACAAAGGAGGAGTGAGTCAGACAGAGGGACAATCTAAAGATGGCAGTCAAGGAACAAAGGTAGTCTTCATGTGGGGACAGACTTTGGCTGGAATGAAGAGTGAGCGAGAGGTACTGAGTGAGGTACTGAGAGGTCAGACAGGAGAAGTAGGCAGGGCCCAGAAAGAAAAGGCCTTCTATCTCTGGTCTTTAAAGGACATGCCGATGCAAGGGATGTCCTTTTATTTATTTATTTATTTTCCTGTTTTGTTTTGGGGAGAGGTTTTTGCTATAGGGCGTGTGTGCTTGCCAGCAGGAGAGAGACAGAAAATGAGAAATCACTCCCCAGGGGGGATGGCCATGCTGCAGTCCTTTCTCCTCCAGTCTCCTCTCAGAATCTTGGGCATGCACTCACATGCACCCGGCAAGAGTTTAAGCCACCAGGTCCAGGACTAGAACCAAAGTTGACTACATGGGAGCCCAGCAACATAGCCACTGCGCCAACTGCTGGTCCCACAATGAAAGGTTTTAAAGAGGGAATGGGGTGGTAATGATCAGATTTTTCTGTACAAATGATCATTTTAGTTGAAAATTAGGACAACCCTAAACATACATGCTTCTTTTTATGGAACAACAGGCATTTTCCAGAGATGTTTGGAAAATGTCACTATTATTTACTGCCAACAGTTTCTATACCAAGTACTATCAGAAACTAGATCCCAAACTGTAGCATTATTTGGCAGAGGTGTTTAAATGATACCTCCATGGCTGCTAAAGGAGGATTTTAAAGAAGGATTTTAGGATTTTTTTTTTCTGTTTGTAACAAAGATTCCTGACCTCTTGATTTAGTGTTTCCAATGAGCCTTTTACTTGATAAAGACAGAGTATAAAACTCAATATCCTTCTTATTATGGATTCGAGGCAGGGTCCTTTAGTAGTTAAAATCAAAGTAACCCAGCTTGCTAGAGCATCAGTTTCACGATCTGTAAAATGGGAAGAACTGTACCTCTGTCTCATGTGGCACTCATAAAGTCAGCTTTATATTCATAAAGAGCCTGGTCCAGCTGGCATATGGACCAGAGCAGGTGCTTAAAAGTTGGCATTTGCTAGAATCCCACAGAACTTTTATTGGTTCTACCGAGGAAAGCAGCACTTCGATTTCACTGCCATGTCTGGAAATGCATCCCATGTGTTTTTTAAATAAATGCAGGCCTGGGGTAGTGGCTCTTCTTACAGTTTCCCCTTTTTCCATTTGGGCTTCCTGGGCTTTTTGCTCATGACTCTCCTAATGCAGTGGACAAGTACATTCTTTTATTTCTGCCCATCTCTGCTCCTGCAGTATGTGGCCGTTATGGGAAGCTTATGTCTTCTGGCTCTATCACCAGGTACTCCATACGTGCTGCTGGACTGAGTAACATGCACATGCCCTCTTACCCGTGGCCTGCCTCCTGGGCTCAGGGAGAGCTAGACTGAGCGGAGACTCTTACTAGGCATGGCTTGTATTTCATCGGCAGAAGCTGGCTAATCTAATGGTGTCACCTCAGCAATCCCTTCACTTACAGATGCTTTTCCTCTCCATTATGCACTCACACCCTGATGAGACTGCATGGGCAATGGGCTTCCACATTTTTTGCTTTAAACCTTTAAAGCAAAAGCTCTGGGGTAGGAAGAATCAGTGGGGATGAAAAAGAAGATGCCTCAGCCTTCCAGGCACAGGGCAGAGCTGTTCTCCCAAACTGCCTAGGAATAACCTCAGCAATACCCTCCACCACTGCACAGACCACAAGGACTTTCAGCTCCTTCTCATGTTGTTTCCATCTCAATGACAAAAATTCAATAATAATATTTGTAGGAATTTTTGTCCATGGAAGACTTTCCTAACCATGAAAGAACATCATTTCAGTTTAATTAAGAAACAAAAATTCAGTTTAATTAAGAAACAAAGAGGGAGGAAGATTCTGCAAAGATATGTTACTAAAATGTTTTCCCTGCTATTTATCTCAAGCTCCTGCTCATGCCATTTTTTTTTTTCCATAGTGAAAGTACAAAGGAAAATAAACATTGCAATGTAAGCAATGAAGCCCAGCTCCTACTGCTATCTAGGGTTCAGTGTTGGTTTGTTTAGGTTTTTGCCACAGGGCATGTACACTTGCCAGGGAGCAACAAGGAGAGCGAAAGTGAGAAGTCACTCCCCAGGGGAGATGGCCATGCTGAAATCCCTTTTCCTCCATTCTCCTCTTAGGATTCTTAGCATGCATGAACGCACTCTTGCCCAGTGTCATTTTTCTGCCAGGTCCAGGACTTGAACCACAGTTGGCCTTGGGAATCCAGCACCTTCACTACCATACCACCTACTGGCCCCCAGAATTCAGTTTCACGCCTTGATCTCACAGTAACTTCAGTTTCATCCCTTGTCCTCACAGTAGCCCAAGGTACAGTGTCTTCCACCAAAAACCTCACCTCTGTACTGTCTATGGCCTGGCCAATCAGGTATCTGCACAAATGGCAGAGGATACAGGTGTGAAAACTCTATTGTTCTCTCAGTCACTTGCATCCACACAATAGAGTATGTGCTTGAAGGCTGGGTTTAATCTAAGAGAACAAACACTTTCCTACTATGAAAACATTTAATATTCATGAAGAACTTATACACCACAGAAGTGGCAAGTGTCCTAAACATACATAGGGCAGGGGGATGTTCCACAAGATGTGGGGCCAGATCTTCCCCAACAGCCCCAATAGATGCACATATATACAGAGAGATGTGTTTGGAGGGAGCCAGTGGTATATTAAGTACACATTGAGAAGTAAGAGATAGAGACATGGAACCAGACAGATTTATTTTTTTAATTTATGCTTTCCTCCACTTCTGAGGAAGGAAGGAACGTGGGGAGAGTGAGAGCCAAGAGGGCAGAAATAAATGGTAAGGCTGGTGTCAAGGGGATGGTGAGAATAGGAAGGGTCTGGTCCAAGACAGGAAACCAAGGTGGATGGAAGACAATAACTTGCCTTGATATACCACCTGTGTCTTGAAAGAGCTGTCACATACCTGATCATGTTTTAAGAGAAATATGATTACTCCATCTGATCATTTGGAATGGGAGGCCTCCAAAATGCCCAGCACCAACCTCCAAACTCAGCACAGTCACAGGATGCTGCTCCTCCCATGTGCTGAAATGTCACTGCCTCACCTTCCCAAGATGTGATCCCGCCTACAGGAGCTGGTCTAGGAGAGGAGGGACCACATACAAGTGGGCAAGGCACCTGGCAGCCCAGTTCCTCCACCAGCCAGCACTCATAGTCGCTCATGGAAGGGTAGGACTGTGGCTCCCAGCCCCAGTGCCAACATGTGCCAGCAAACCAGCCTGCACAGTGTGTGCTCAGACAACTGAAGACAAGTAACCAAGGAATGAAGAGCCCGAGTTCCAGAGGGATGACAAGAAAGTCTCATCAATGAGAGGGGTAAGGGATTCTCACTTAGTCTCATTGACCCATGGACTCTGAGTTCTGGACTCCACATGGTCAGGGGAATCTGGTTTAGGCATGAGGGAGAATAGGGGCAGCAATTAGAAAAAAGTCATTTCTGATGCTGGGACGGGAGATGTGGCCTATTCCCAATGCAAGAGACTAACAGACATATCTCACTGGTAAAAACAGAGGCTGGACCCAAGCTGGTGGTATAGTCAACAGCAAACTGAACTGTAGTGCTGGAACCCAAGCAGCTGACTGTGAGTTCGGATCCCTGGGTCCGCCAGGAAACATGGTAGCACGTGCACACACGCACACATGCCTGAGATCCTGATTAACTAGGGCCAGGGAAAGGGTGTCAGGACATGCACACACACACGTTCTCTCTCTCTCTCTCATGAATAAAATTAATAAAATAAAAAGGAAAAAGTGAGCAAAAGGCTGGCCAGCCATCTTGACAACATAAGAACACAATGCTCCAGGGTGCTGAGGCCATACTGGAAATCCTGGGTTCACGTCCCTGTGCACTCCAGGTATGTGTGCACATGCCTGAGACCCAAGCTGGCTGAGAAGAATCATACCATGAAGACCCTTTCGGGGCTGCCAATATCCCATCTACCATCTTCATGGAATAAATAATAAAAACAAAAAGAGAGGCATGCAGTTTTAGAGACATGATCTTAGGGAATCTTGTTTTAACTAACCTGATGCTTTTACAAATCAAATGCAAGGTCCATTGGGTAC